GGGGGTCCTGAAATTTACAATTTAAGTAAAGCCCCTGATGATCTTTCTTTCCACATAGAGAAAATCACTGTAGTACCTCTGAGTCTGGAGAAGAAGATTTTTGAAATATTGATTAATTTTCCCTTTGGGGCCCCGCCCTGGCCCCAGGGGTTGGGGTAGGAATCCCAATTTTACAATTTCGAAGCCTCATCTACCAAGGATGATTCTGACCAAGTTTGAAAAAAATCCATCCACTGGTTCTTGAGAAGAAGTTGAAAATGTAAAAGTTTACGCACGACGGCAACGGACGACGACGGACGAAAAGCGATTAGAATAGGTCACTTGAGCAAAGCTCAGGTGACCTAAAAAAATTAAATAAAAACTCTCCCTGTGTGGGGCGAACTCGGGACCTGATGATCACATTACTGATCCGACACACTACCGATGTCACATAGAACTTCACAAACATGTTTATATGTATATTACAACAATTACCTAGTGTAGTTAGCCCGAGTTTCCAGACTTTGACATTTTGACAGATACATGTAGATGTCTGGTGTAGACATCTACCTGTCTGACAAAATGTCTACCATACGATACCACGTAAACATTAAAACTTATTATTATCATTTGATAGAAACAAGCGTCTGTGATTGCATAGTTGTCATGAATTCAGGTTGTTTAGGTACCCGGTTGTTTAGGTACCCGGTCGTTTCGGTACTTCTGAAAATCGTTTCGGTACTTATGGAAAACATTGCTTGTTTAGATACAGTCCATGTATATTTGATATAAGCACAAACTTGATATCTAATATGTTAATTTCTATAGGAACTCTATCTAAATCAGAGATTTATAACGATAGATTTTCGTGAGGGTTCCGCAAAACGAGTTTGTACTGTTATTTAATGTTTTATATTTAGAGCTGGTATTCAACATTATATGATTTGGAAAAGACAGATTGCAAAATACACATGACGCTTCATGATGTATCTGAAATACCCTTACATGTACATCTATTTTCTCTCATCAGTTTTTTTCGTTTCGATCGATACGCGGCGTTCGTTTCAATCATGAATACAAAAACTAAAACAGTTAATATTATTACATTGATGAATAATTTTATTTCCATACAGGGATAGCATATATTTATACTCGGTAAACAAAAACAAAAATACATTTAAAAACAGTTAATTACAACATAATTGAATTCACATCGTCATTCAATAGCTACTATTATAGCCGAAGACGTGATGAGTTTTTGATAAATTTGATAGTGGAACCCTCATTTTTATGACAAGTTGGTGAATTCCCTCACCGTTGAGTTTCTCCTAAAGAGCTACTCGGAGCTACTCCAATCTACTCAGCTGCTCAGTTAAAAAAGCAAACGTTAAATAAACAACCATCACGTATGTTGCAGGATCACGTTTGATGTACGAAAACAAAGATTGACTGATCTGCGTGATTGTTTAAACAATAATTATAAACAACCAACAATAAACAACAAATGAAAAATATTGATTAACTAATAAACGAAGTACCGAAACAATAATCAAAATTATTGAAGTACCGAAACAAATTAAATACAAGTACCGAAACAAATTAAATACAAGTACCGAAACATCTTTTTGATGTACCGAAACATCTACTGCACCCCGTTGTCATTATGCAGCAGGTTTTAGGAAGTGATTGAACTTATATTACTGCCCAGGTAAAATTAAAAAGTTCAACAGGTTGGGCACAACGGCGCATATGGGTAATAATCCTGCATTTGGGTAATAGTTTCCCATTTGCAGTAACAATTTTATTACTGAGATCACGGAATTAGATTAAGTCCGTGCTGAGATGGGGAATAAAGTGAAATAAAAAAACACATAAAAGTTCTTTTAGACAACTGCAGCAAAAAAGGGCGTCATTCTTTCAACATTATCCAATATATAACTCAATGAAGTACCTTTTCTGATGTTTCATATTTTGCTAAAATGACAAACCATATCAGTGTGTAGTCAATGGGATCATCTAGTGCAAATGACAGGTGAGCATGAATTTGTCTGTGTGCTATTTATAGCTACTCTACAACACATTATAAGCAATGGAGTGATACAAGTTGTAAGTTTTTTTTAAAAATTTGATTAGCATCATGCCTAGTTGTTACAAATTCTTACTAGAATGTACGAGGTACTGCTGGTCAGGTCCAGTACACTCTGCCGATTGAGCTATATAGCTGTAAAGACCTATAATAGCTCTATTGACCTATCTGAAATAGGTCTTTTGAGCTATTTTCAAGTGATTTTCTTTTTTTAAAGAAAACGAAACAAAATCGCTTTTAAAAGAAGATTGTATCATTAGGTTGATAACAAAAGACATTAAATATAAGTATTCTTTTTAAAAAATAATGATGTAAAAAAATCGGAAATTTTACATTTATGAAAAATGAAAATAAACATCTCAAACTGTATGCTCTTTGTAGTCAACATTACCATAAACCTTATTCTTTTATGCGACTTTGCTTTAATCTAATGAAATTTGAAATCTGAGAAAATATAGCTCAATACAGCTATAATTTATAGGTGTATATAGCTATATAGGTCTTTATATCTATATAGCTCAATCGGCAGAGTGTACTGGACCTGCTGGTAACGTAGCAAGATCATTAACCATGGCATGGGTGATGAATTCAAAATAACGATGTGAAAGTCAATAGGCAATACTTAAAAATGACGAATGTATTTTGATAAACTTACAGTGGTAAGCGTTTGTCTTATCACCGTCGCCCGTTTTCGTTTTTTTTTTCTTTAAGACCATCTATAGCATACATCAAGGTTTTGTTGTAGACGAATGAGCCCCAGCGTCAAGGCATTTCTGCTCATCCATGTCAATGTAAAGCTTCCTCCTTTACGACTACTTGAAACGCTGTAGAGACCATGGCATGATCTACGTCGAGCAGGTGTTTACATATTCACGAGTATTTACGCTGATACAAACAAACATTTCAATGATCACATTTAATTACTTCGTCTGCACGAACAGCTGAGGACTTCTGCTTATTAAATTTAGCAAAATGGAAATCACTTTTCATGGAAAACGGGCGCTCGTGACAGGTGCTGGGAAAGGTAATACGGTATTTTGGTTACAATTTAAGAACAAAAGCTTCAGAGCACACTAAGGGTGTGTCTTTCTTTCGTTAGTTAGTCCTACATATAAAATGGGGTCAGAGCCTCAGTAGGTCACGACCTCATTTATTAAGCTTTATGTAACCAGAGAGCCTAAAATAGACTTCCAGAACATTTTCTCATTCCTTATCATCCAATACTGTGTCAATTCCACGTGCACTGAACCATTAAGTCAGTCGACAAACGATTTTATGTTATACAGATGAAGCTTGTCAATTGCATCAGAGCCCAACCCTGGTCCCCGTAACATCAAATATCCATATGGTATATGCTCTAAAGCGATGCAATGGTCTACACCCGGTATTTGCTGTGACTTATGTGACACATACTATCGTAAAGAATGTACAGGTATATAAATGCTGAGTATCATCTACAAGTCCCTTAGTAACATATCAAGGGATTATATTCAGTGGGGTATGCCAAACTTCTCTATATACCTATTTGTCATAACTATCCATGAGTCATAGGTGAAGGAGATGATACTCTGCCCAAACAAAAAGCTTTCTGGCAGTATACATGGGGTGTTACGATTTACCCAAAAATACCCGAAAGACCTTAAAACACCCCCAAAACACCCAAAAAACATCTAAATACATCCAGATAAGACCACGAAAAACCACAGACGACACTTAAACAATATTCAGTTGATATTATAATGAAGTAACCTAATTTTCGGCATCAACTGTCAAGTCCTTCAATTCGAAATTACGAGAGTATATTACATGTGTTACCTCCCTTGCATCACGATGTTACAGATGACAGCATTATTAAAATCATAAACACTATAAAATAATCTAAGGAAAATGGGGAATGAAGAATTTATGACATTAAATAGAATTAAACTAATGAATGACACAACATGTCCTTTTGCGAAAAAGGTAATATCTGAAGAGATAGCGGTTCATGTTGTGATTCACTAATACAATAATCTATCAATATGTAGCATAAGAGAAATGGGGAAATGAAATGAAGACGTAACACAAAATTACCTGTACAGTACATACTTGTGACCCAACACTCATGGAACTGGCCTATTGGTGGGTTTTTTTACTGTTCTTGATCTTTCAGATTTTTGTCTTTTCCTTTGACACAGCTTTTTGCCGCAGTTTTGCTTCGGGTTTCGGCACACGGCCAAAAAGGTTCTAAAATATGCGTCTTTTTCTTTTTGTGTTTTTTTAATTCCAAATTTCCTGGTCTACCTCAAATTATGTTGTTTTGCCTTCTAGCCTAAAGTTTCCAGTTCCATGTAATGCCCTTCTTAAATCAAATATCTGCATTTGAGATACATTCAAACAATATCAAATAATGTGGAAAGAGTGAGAAAAATACCATTTTATATAACAAATATCGATAAAACTAATGTGAATAGGCAAACGGTAAACTTGTTTGCAAGGGAAGTAACTCAAATACGTATAGTTAATATTACTCGCGTCACTATAACCTTCCAAATAACGGGAAACATTATTATGTTACATAATGTCAGGTAGCAGAAATATAAATATCTATGTATATTTAATGTTTTTTTGTGTGTTCTGGGGTGTTCTGGGGTGGTTTTTTTCGGTCTTTTGGGGTAAATTGTGCTGCTGGTATACGTGTATAAATGTATAAAGAAACATCGCATCCGACAAAGCAAACATCCTCAACAGGCAGTATAAATCATTGTTTTCTCATGGCATGAGGAACTTACATCTGTTCAATGCTTGCCAGAGAGGCCATATTCTTCGATGCAGGACAATATCATACATAATTCTTTAAAACACCTTGATGAACACAGGATCCTGAATGATCGTCAGCAAACTGGATTCAGGGCTAGGACAAACTATGAGACCAATGATCCTAATATATATACTCTGCCATAACCTTAAGCTTGCAAGCAACATCTTAAGGATCCCCGTCCCAGCCAGAGCAAAACACTAAAGATTTCCACAGTCGTTTTTCAGTGTTAGAGTCACCTGCCCCTGATTACCATGTCGACAATGTCGTTATCTTCCCTTGAATAGATTTTGTTTCGACTACAGAGTTGTGTCCCTTGCGTTGAAAATCTCCAATTAAGAAAGTGTGGGTAAAAAAAGCTTAAATCATCCGTTTTAAATGTAAACTAAACGCATTAACTGACAATAATAACAACAACGATGTACAATATCAACTGCTAGACAACGACTATGGGACGAAACATAGTGACACTCGTTCACACATTGAAGAAACACTGGCTTCTGAGTCCCTAGCTGCGATAACGTAGCTATCTGACGACGATATTTTTTTTTATATTGGGCCGGCCGGGGCAGAGGAGGCTGGGTATTAATATTAGTACTACTGAGGCCCCTACTAAGCTTACTGACATCGACGTCCGATGAGGATCCCTCCAGTACTAGTGATCACGAATACATCAATAACTTTTTAACCTGGTCGCAGGGTAGACGAGTGGTTGAACTCGCGTTGTTATCTCAATACCTGGACCAGAAAGGTTGTAAGGAATGAGGTACTAGGCTACGGTTGTGCAATACCCGACAAGAAAGACATTTTGGCCTGGGAAGTATTTTATACATCACAATAGTCAGGATTATATTCTATATTTATTATTACATGTATATACTCAATAGGCCTATATTTCAAGTTCATTTTTTATATTACATAGGCCTACAACAGTGTTATTTTTTACAATGTGGTATTTTTATACCACAATATCGTATGTTGTTATTTGTTTAGTTTTTTTGTATCTTTATAATTTTTTGTATAATAAGTAAGTCCGCAAGATATTTATTTTTTGTCACCTGTATTTTCTTTTCGTTGTCCTTAACGTGTTGCATTGGCACTCAGAATTTTATTGATTTATGTAACGGGCAGTTTTGTTTGTTTTAGTATTATTGTTAAAAAATTACTCAGTTTTTTTGTGTTTTGTTCATCAATATTGACATTGTTATTTTTTTGTGTGTTTTATTTCCAATAAACCATTGTTGCATCAAATAAAATGAATTTTGTTTCATTTTGTTCCATTGAAAACCAAAATCGAAAAAAAAATTGAAATTTCATAATATCCAAACAAATCTGAAGAAACTACCGCAAGGTATGGGTTATTGTTCTGAAATGATTTGGTTATGTAATAGCGATGCGTGTAGAAAAAAAACCCAGTGCCTCATTACATTTTTAGGTGGAGGGACGGGGATCCTTAGGGGTTATGGTAGAAGGAACAACATCAGAAAAAGACCCAGTTGTCAGCAGAGTACCTTAGGGGACCTGTCTCAGACCTTTCTTTTCCTCCTTTTCATAAACGACCTAACAACATATCACATTTAAGGTAAAATTATTTGCAGATGACTGCATTATTTAAAGGGAAATAAAAGGAAAAGAGGAAATCATTACACTGCAACAAGACATAGAAGAACTGGCTGACTTGGAAAAGAAATGGGGAGTTGATCCCCGGAGTTCCATAGAGACTAGTGTCATGTCCAGAGATTTACAAAGAACAGGAATATCTTAAAGGTCACTTCCTTGAAAAAACTAGTACCAGCAATTATCTTGGAGTGGATCAGCAGATAACACATCGACACATCACATTGATAGAGTATGTAAGAAGTCAAATAGCACTCTGGGATTCCTTAGAAGGAATCTGAAGACTTCCATAGACGATACCAAGTTAAGGTCTGTGCATATTTCACACTCGTTTGCCCAAACTTGGAGTAGTACTGCTCACCAATAACCAGATTGTCCAGCTGGAAATGGTTCAGAGGAGAGCGACTCGTTCCACCACAAGCAGATACCGTATCACCAGCAGTGCATCTGACATAATACAGCCCTTACCATATGGGACTCATTGAAATCAAGACGCCTCAAGAATCAGCTAACAACCATGTACAAGGTTGTCCATGGTTTCTTAAGACATACCAGCCTAGAACTACCTGAAAGCCTTGACATGTTCCGCCTGATGTAATAACTCTTTTAAATATTGCTGTCTGTTTTCTTCTAAAATCACTTTTAGGCATAGCTTCTTCCCATCAATTATCCCCCACTGGAATTCTCTCCCAGCTGCTCTGGCTGAGGCCCCTGACTTGCCATTTTTTAATCAGGGAATGTCCTTTTAAAGGAACAATCTCCCCGAAGACAAAACTATTTGCAACCCAGGTTCGGATATTTCCTTGCCAAGCGTGCATTCACCCAGTATTTGAAACAGGGGTTGGTCACATGCACTAGTTTTGTTATAGTATCAGCAAAATACACGGCTAGACTTGGATTCAAACAAGGGACCTGCATGCAGTCCAGTTCCATATTATTCCTCCCTCCTTTTATTCCAAGTCTTTGCCCCTATAGACAACACCAGTTACAACCAAAGTTGGAATTTTCCAATGCAAACCATGCATCCAGGCCAGTAATTGAAACAAGGGTTGATCACAGACAGCTACTGTATCAGGAAAGGCGAAATGCATTGGCAGACTGATGGATGGATGCTCAACCAAATGAGCTAGCTGAGCTGGTTGCTGATGATTGACCCAGTCAATTTTCCCTACATTTATATGTGAGAATCATGCAGTTTCAGAGCCCCAAGTAAGAAACAACCATGATGTCATACAATATGGTACAATCACAAACATTAGTGTAAATTTTTCATAAATTGTGAATTTCTTATATCTGTTATTTGAATTACATACCCCTGTCTCACAAAATTAACATACCATAGGATTGATAGGAGATACAATATATAATGATTGTGTTACTGTAAAATCTTTTTTTTTTTATTACCAAAACAGGCATTGGACGTGACATTGCAAAGAAGCTGGTAGAATGTGGAGCAGAAACGTATGCCCTTAGTAGGACCCAAGCAGACCTGGACACCTTAAAGTCTGAGGTGAAGTAGCACAACTCATTCACGCTTCGAATGTTTCATCCTTATATGGTGAATAGGGTGAAAAAAATATATTTCTAATATCATCATATCCTTATGTCTTACTTACTGATCATGACTAGATCAGAATCAAATCATATGCCATGTCCCTTTCGGTACAAACTCAATAATTGGTATTGATTTTATTAACATATCATCATCATATGTTGTGTTATTTAATTAGACTTTCACACATTGTTTCTAATTTGTCCTTTGATTCCTAGTTGTACATCTTAAGTGGTGAGACTGATCAGAAGAACAATATGACTACTAGACCATATAGATGGTCATCTTTAATTCTGACAGTTATGAAAATTGCTATTGCTTTTCTTAAGTATATGTACTACAGGGGGGGATCTAATTTCATATGACTATATTGATCCTTAGTTGTACACTGTACATATTTAATTTTGAGATTTATCAGAACATCAAGAACAAGGTGCCCGCTAGATGGTCATTTTTTATTTTGACAGTTATAAAGATTGTTATCACTTTTTGTAAGAAGTAAAGAAGGGATCGATCCTCATGATATTTTTATGTACCAGGAAGTTGTAAGTTTTAAAATTTTGAGAAGATTACATTTAAATGCAATTACTTCATATTGTAGGTGGCTTTTGACAGTTAAAGTTTGTTATCAAAGTGTAAGATTTGCTGATTTACTATCTTCCAAACTGCTTAGCAAATTTGTGAATTAGTTTTATAATTATTATTTTATTTTGTACAGGTGCCTAGCATGCACATAGTGCTGGCTGATTTACAAGACTGGGATGGGTCAAGGAAAGTCATTGAACAACTTGGTCCTATAGACCTCCTTGTTAATAATGCTGGAGTTGGAAGGAATGCACTGTTTATGGAGGTCAAGAAGGAAGAACTTGATTAGTATGTGAACCTTCGTTTTAGCCAACTATTAATGTATATATACCTACATGTGTAAATGCTAGAAAACAAGACAAGAGGTCCATCTGGCCTGTAACTGGTTCTTTTGTTATCTGAATTAAAAAAGAAGTTGAAATGTTTCTGCTTACTTATATTGTGGCCATCTAACATTTCTTACATATTTCTATTTAACAGTTCAATATAACAACAGCTTGTACTATTATAGGGAAATGACAAAAACATGTGTGCATTTTGTTACCTTTGATCTGAATTTATCATATCAAAGTAAACAAATGTCTTGTGAAATCAAATTAGGAAAGTCTTACCATTTTAGCTCAAAAATCAAAGCTCAAAAATCGTCACAAAAAGTCACCTGTTCAGGATTACGTTGGCATTATTCTTGTTAAAGAAGGCTGGGCAACCATTGATCTTAGAACTTTAGGCTTGTGAGGTTTATTTGTATATTGTTTTGTCAAAATAAGCCTGATGGAAATTGGGAAGAAGTAGAAAATGTCTTGGCCATGGTAGCCATCTTTGATTGCAACTTGGTCCAAATTATAGCAACTCTTCGTCAAGAACATCAGGGCCATATATTTGTAATTAAACAAGTTTCATCACAGATTAAGGTCTGATGGAAATAGTAAAAAAGGTCAAGATGGCTTTCAGCACAAATAATAACGTTTCACTATGAGAGGAACTTTTGCCCCCGACCCCTGACCCCACCTCCCCAGTGGGACACACCCTTCCCACATACAACATAAGATTATACCCTATAAACTGCTATTTGTTCTGCCCCCTCCATTCTCATGGATGCTTGCCACTTTAGCTAAAGTGTACTTTCCTATATGTTGTCTATGCTTAAATTACTAGTAATAAGATACCAACATTACTACATGTATAGTTATAAATTTCAACTTGTTTCTCTTTTCAGTGTGTATGACATCAATGTGAAATCAATAGTAAATGTATCACAGGTAAATACTATATAATTATACTGTATACACATACATGTAAATAATTTATCTCTGGGTCAGGAGGGGTCTACGGGCTCATAGCTGGTCATAAGCTGGTTTATAAAGACCAATTAAGCCTGAAGACCCCTCCTAACCCAGAGATGATAAATTTGTCACATTGACAATATTTTGTTACTTTTTTTACTGAACATTTGTAGCCACTTTGTTGTACTTGACCGCTACCTAAATAGCCCCTACCGAACACACCTTATTGGCAATATTTCGGAAAATACACAACCATCTTTGTAATTAGTACCCTAGTGGCCCCCTCATTGCCTGTTTCTTTTAACTTGCTGTCATTGTAGACTCTTTCATCCTGTGAATGATGGGAAAACCAGGAACGCTTGTGTGTGTTGAATGTCATCTAATAATGTTCCTTTTTATGTTTTGGTGGATCTTGATCATACTTCACAGAATTAAATTTGCCAATAAACACAGATTTGTCACATTTAGCCAAAGTCATAAATCTCGAATGTCTAATCAAGACATTTAGAGCATATACAAATCATACAAAGTATCATGTTACTCTGTAGGTGTCTGGGCTATAACTCTAGTGAGTAACCAGTGACTGGGTGTCTGGGCTATAACTCTAGTGAGTAACCAGTGACTGGGTGTCTGGGCTATAACTCAAGTGAGTACCCATTTACTGAGTGTCTGCGCTATAACTCTAAACCTTTGGCTGGGTGTCTGGGCTATAACTCTGTACCCTTTGACTGGATGTCAAGGCTATAACTCTTCACTTTGACTGGGTGTCTGTGCTATAACTCTAAACCTTTGACTGGGTGTCTTGGCTATAACTCTTTACCCTATAACTGGGTGTCTGGGCTATAAACTCTAGTGAGTAACCATTGACTGGGAGTCTGGGCTATAACTCTGTACCCTTTATGTCTTGGATATAACTCTGAACCCTTTGACTGGATGTCTTGGATATAACTCTGAACCCTTTGACTGGATGTCTTGGATATAACTCTGAACCCTTTGATTAGGTGTCTGGGCTATAACTATGTACCCTTTGACTAGGTGTAAGATCTAGAACTCTGTACCCTTTGACTAGGTGTAAGATCTAGAACTCTGTACCCTTTGACTGGGTGTCTTGGATATAACTCTGAACCCTTTGACTGGATGTCTGGGATATAATTATACCCTTTGACTGGATGTCAGGGCTAACCTCTACCTTTTGACTGGATGTCTGGGCTATAATTATACCTGTTGACTGGATGTCAGGGCTAAACTCTACCTTTTGACTGGATGTCAGGGATATAACTTTGTACCCTTTGACTGGATGTCAGGGCTATAACTCTGTACCCTTTGAATGGGTCTCTTGGATATAACTCTGTGACTAGGTGTCAGGGCTATAACTCTGTACCCTTTGACTGGGTGTCTTGGATATTTATAACTCTTTACCCTTTGACTGGATGTCAGGGCTATAACTCTGAAACCTTTGACTGGATGTCAGGGCTATAACTCTACCCTTTGACTGGGTGTCTGCGCTTTAACTCTACCTTTGACGAGACCCTTTGACTGGGTGTCTGCGCTTTAACTCTGTACCTTTGACTAGACCCTTTGACTGGGTGTCTGCACTTTAACTCTGTACCTTTGACTGGATGTCAGGGCTATAACTCTACCCTTTGACTGGGTGTCTGGACTATAACTCTATCCTTTGACTAGACCCTTTGACTGGGTGTCTGCGCTTTAACTCTGTACCTTTGACTAGACCCGTTGACTGGGTACTTTTGTTGCATCTTGATCATACTTCACAGCTTTATTGCCCATGACCCAGGGGCTGCAACCTTAATTGATGAATCGCCATATCTCTGAGGGCAAGGGCAAGGGCAAGGCCAAAGAGCATGAATATCTAAAATTGGTGCTTGGGCCAGAGTTCTGTAGCCTTTGGCTGGCTCAGGAAGAAAGTAATACTTATCAGCACTGTTGCCTATGACCTTTACAAAGAGTGAGCTGTTAACTCAACATTATGCAGTACTTATAGTCAAGGACATGCAGCATGGACATCTAAAATGATTCAATGCTATGTATACCATCATTAAATGGTGAGGGTACATCATGCTCTCATTTGATGATGTCTACATTTAACATTACCAGGTAGTTTGTAACATAAAATTATGTAACAATACTAGAAGTTAACTTTTGACTTGGATGGATCACATCAGTCTGAAAGATGGTAATTTAAATAGCAGGCATTCTATTGCTTATTTCCATAGGCATACTATTGCTTATTTCCATAGGCATACTATTGCTTATTTCCATATCTCAATGCAGTGGGATATGTATGAATTAATGTTGTTTCTCCAACCCTAGTTTAGTGATATCGAAAGAGGAGACATTCTGAGGTCCATATTGATAAAAACACATATCAACCGTAACTAACATGCTGCAATGTTTTTTTTGAGTTTTTCATTTCATAAATCCTCTTTGTCATATCATGTTTCCATATGAACAATTAAAAAAAACAGTGTCTCGTCCAGTTGACATCTTCAAAGTCTTCAAAAGTTGCTGTGTTTCCCTTACTTGTATAAGTGTTTTATTAAACAGCTTCATTACTGTGGTGTGGATTGTTGACAGGGGCCTCCTTTTGATCTTGCAGGAGGTAGTTACACGTTTCAGATGACCCCTTTCACTTTATTCCATGTTTAGGTTTATTGGAAAATCTTGGTCATTTAGACATCTGACTTCTATGGAACGACATTATATTATATCTTTCAAGTGTACTGTTATGATATAGTGACATATCACTAAGTCAATATATGTTTTTATAGGAGCTCAAGTCAATAAGACTCTTACAGGTAGCCATGTGATTGGTATGATCATCCTAAAATGCTCAGATGATATCAATAAATAATAAAACAATATATAACAGAGAGGTTTTCATCACATTATGAATCTGCCATTACAGTTGAGATCATATTTTGGTACAGTAAGAAATATATAATCTTCCTAGTTAGAAGATTTTTTTTTACACAAGGTATGTATATAAATGTGTAGAGATACTATTTTCATCCATATCAACAGAGTGGATATTTAGCAATTTGGTAATATAAAAATGAATGCAAAGTCTTCCAAAAGTGAAATAAAACAAAACAAAACAAAAATACCACAATAGACAATTTTGATCAAGTAAGTAAATGATGGTAGATAGATAGGATAATCAGCAGGATCGATGGCAGATGCTTTCAAGAGATTTAGCACTTCAGACAAGTACAGTATACATCTTAGAAGTACAATTTTGTATTAACAGTACTAGCCTGCTCGTATTTTTTGTAAAATTCTACTAGCCAAGCTATTAATTCATTGTAAATATATACAATTTTCACTAAGCTTGACATAAAATCTAGCCTCAGTTATGGATCTAGTGAAGTTGTACATTGCTGATACATGTATATATTTAAATCATATTAAAACTTTTATCTACAGGTTTGTGCAAAGGGAATGATAGAGAGGGGAACGGCAGGCTCTATAGTCAACATGTCCAGCATAGCCTCTTCAAAGGCTTTACAAGAACATACGGCTTACGCTTCTTCAAAGGCTGCTGTAGACATGATCACCAAAGTCATGTGTCTGGAACTTGGTCCCCACAAGGTAGTTTATCTAGTTTTCTAAAGTTGCTGCAGACATATAGTAACCATTGGCTTTTGCTTTTGAAGCAAACTTGTGTCTTTGGGATTCAAGGAATTGGAATTGGGTGCTAAACCTTCAAAAGCTTACTCCTCTTGACCAGTTGATCATATTTTCAACCACATTTATTTTAAAGTATCCTTAGTATGAGAAAATGAAATGTTATACTGTATAAGGGATTTTGTCCCCCCTGGGGATTGAGAGGCATAAATAGGAAATATTTGTAATTACTGGGAAAAACAAATTCACCATATTAGATTGCTTACAAATCAGGTGAACAATTTAGGCCCTCTAGACCTCTTGTTTAAAATGACCTAGATATTACCATTGTTTTTTTGAAGGCCACAATAAGGAACACAGGTTATACTGGCTCATTAGGCTTTCATTAACAATGCATGTTACCTATCCACTCTGCAGGGTAGCATAAACATATATGTTCAAATATGTCTAAATCTGTACTCTCCAGAAGCGGACAGGCCTGGGTCTATTACTTTGGTAAAGTTTCTGTAAAAGCAATGATGAGAATGCATGCAATTGTGAAATAAGCCCTCTTCACAAATTGTATTATAGCAGAATTGATGATCGTTATACCCACCTTATACAATCCATCCATAACCTTGTAAGCGGCAACGCATTCTAAACTGTTTGTGATTGTTGGATATTTTTTTGTAACTTGGCACAGTGGAATAACATTATATAAAGGTGTGCATGAAGAGAGGAATTAATGATTCGATTATTTTTCATGGAGTTATGGCCCTTGAAACTATCATTTCTTCTGAAGCACTTTTTACGAAGAAATGTATGAAGAAAAGAATTTGCTGTTCAACTATGTATTCTTTATTTCTACTCCAAAAACTTGTAAGCATGAATTCTCCTTAACCGTGCATTTGATTTTTAGCCAAGGTGAGCTTATGCCATACCTTGGCGTCCGTCGTCTGTCCATACATCTGTCTGTACATCAACAATTTCTTTAAACAACTTCTTCTTAACCACTGATTGCAATTCAACTAAATTTGACTGGAAGCATCCCTAGGTGGTGGTGATTCAAAATTGTACAAATGCTGGGGCTGACCCCCCCCCCCAGGGGGCGGAGGGGCGGGGCCAAAAGGGGTCAATTTGGCTATATTGCTTTAAGCGACTTCTTTTCTGGAACTAAGAAGTGGATATCAACCATATTTGACTGAAAGCATCCCTAGGTGGTGGGGATTCAAAATTGTACAACTGATGGGGCTAACCCCCCAGGGGACTGAGGGGCGGGGCATAAAGGGGGCAATTTGGCTATACTGCTTTCAGCGACTTCTCTGGAACTGAGAGATGGATATCAACCATATTTGACTGGAAGCATCCCTAGGTGGTGGAGATTCAAAATTGTACAAGTGGTTGGGCTGACCCCCCAGGGGGCTGAGGGGCACGGCCAAAAGGGGGCAATTAAGCTATATTGCTACAAACGACTTCTTCTGTAGAACTGTGCACTGGATATCAATTATATTTGATCAAAAGCATTCTTGGGAGGCAGGGATTCAAAATTGTACAAATGATGGGGCTGACCCCCCAGGGGGCTGAGGGACGGGGCAAAAAGGGGGCAATTTGGCTATACTGCTTTCAGCGACTTCTCTGGAACTGAGAGATGGATAACGACCATATTTGACTGGAAGCATCCTTACGTGGTGGTGATTCAAAATTGTACAAATGGTGAGGCTGACCCCCCAGGGGGCTTAGGAGCGGGACCAAAAGGGGTCAATTTGGCAATATTGCTTTAAGCGACTTTTTCTCTGGAACTAAGAAGTGGATATCAATCCTATTTGATCTCATGGGAAGCAGGGATTCAAAATTGTACAAATGGTGTGGCTGACCCACCAGGGGGCTGAGTGGCGGGGCCAAAAAGGGTTATTTGGCTATACAATGTATTGCTTTAAGCGACTTCTTCTCTGGAACTAAGAGATGGATATCAATCATATTTGACTGGAAGCATCCCTAGGTGGTGGGGATTCAAAATTGTACAAATGGTGGGGCTGACCCCCCGGGCTAAGGGGTAGGGCCAAAAAAATGTATTACTTGGAAATGGTTGAGATCCCCACCATATAACCATGGTATACAATTGCTGAGTATAAAGAGAAGAATACACATTTGCTTTCAGGATGGCCCTAGTCCCTGGGGCATAACTTTAAAACTGTTGAGATCCCCACCCCAAAACTATATATACAAATGCTGGGCATAAACAGACGAATGTAGTCATGATATCAGAATAGACCCTGGGGTCTGACCGAACCCCTAGGGACCTAGTTTCTTAGTCACAGATTGGAAACAGTTGAGAGTCCCACCCTATAACCGTATATACAATTGCTGAGTATAAAGAGATGATTGCACATATGCTTCCAGGATGGCCTTGGGTACTGCCCCACCCTTGGAGATTTAACCCCTGGGTCATAACTTCGAAATGGTTTAGATCCCACCCCAAAACTATATATACAATTGTTGGGCATAAAAAGAAGAATGCAGTCATGATATTAGAATTGACCCCAGGGTCTGCCCCACNACATAGAATTGCTGGGCATGAAAAATCTAATACAGATATGCTACAAGGATTGGCCTTGGGGTCTGGCATATTCCCTTGATCTCATTTGGAGAATGTTTTGCCATGATTGCTTTGGTATCCAGGTGAGCGATACAGGCCCTCTGGGCCTCTTGTTTATAACATAGCACAGTGAAAGTACCTTATATTTAGGAATTTGCGATTCAAATATTTTTTCAGGGAGTTGTGGCCCTGGAGCCTTTAATTTCTGCTCCAGAAACAGTGTAAGCACAAATCCTCCTTAACTATTTGTTGGATTTTTTTGTAAACTTTGCACAGTGAAAGTACATCATAAGTAGATGTGCATGAAGAAAGGGATTTATGATTGAGGTATTATACCCCCTACAAACAAAGTGTAAAAGGATTGGGTTTTGAACACTTACTTGCTGTATATATTTCCGTATTTACGTTTCGTAAAACGGAGTGTTTTCCATAACTATATAATCTTAATAGAACATTGTATGGGTGGATATTCAAAGATGGTTCAATTTAGTGATGTGCAGAATATGATTTCAGATGTCACAGCCATATTAAAATGTCATTCGTACATGCCTTCTGGTATTTCAATTTTGAGATGAACACAATAGTCACACAATGTATGTGTAATTTGACTTCTGTTTCAATAAATGCTCCCTAAACAAAATAGCTCTGAGAAAAAAATGATATATTGTTCTCAAAGATATACAGAATCCATTGATTTTGCAATAATTTTTCTTTTTGTAGATAAGAGTGAATGCTGTGAACCCAACTGTGGTGTGGACAGAAATGGGTAAGGGGACCTGGAGTGATCCAGCTAAGTCTGGCCCTCTCTTAGCAAGGATTCCACTGAACAAGTTTGTAGGTAAGCTATGGAATACATGCTTTACTCTGTATCTGGCGGCCTGTCACCACTAGCTGTTACAGATGTTTTCAACACCTCAAGTTGTTAAAAGGCGTAGATTTTTTGTAATATTTCATTTAAAGGTAGGGTTTGATGGAGACTACATATATACATGTAACAGGATACATCTACAACTGTCAAATATTGATTTATCCAAAGAAATTTATTTTAGTGCCTGCTAGCATTGAAATGTGGCATCTTCAAATTTTCAATCATAAAAATTAATGAAATAAATCAAAAGTGCATGGGTACTACGGCAATCTCCTCCTACATTTTTCGACCGATCTCTTTGAAACTTAATATACATTATAATCATGATATGAAGTTGCATGTGTCTCCCTTAAAAGAATTTTGATTCGACCATTTTTTCAAAAGTAATTGCCCTTTGTTCATTTCAGTATTTAATTTTTGTCCAGCAATCTCCTCCTACATTTTTCTATAGATCTCTTTGAAACTTGGTATACATTATAATCGTGATATGAAGTTGTGTTTCCCTGAAAAGAATTTTGATTCAACAATTTTTCCAAAAGTTATTGCCCTTTGTTCATTTCAGGATTTGATTTTTTGTCCGAAGATCTCATCCTACATTTTTCGACAGATTTCTTTGACATCATGATATCTTGTTGTGTTTCCTTTTAAAGAATTTCGGTTCGACAATTTTTGCAAAAGTTATTGCCCTTTGTTCATTTCAGTATTTGATTTTTTTTTATCTGGAGATTTTCTCCTTCATTTTTATAGCATGTCGGCTAACCACTCTTTGAATGATGCAGATCTTATTTCAATGTAAGAAAGTATATAACACTATATGGCATTCGACGGGCGTATATTGTTCCGCCCCGCGGTACTCTGGTTCTGGCTTAGAGTAACATCCCTTCATAAGGTATTCTTTTCATATTAATACTGTGGACCAGGGTACTAACAATTTCTGTACAACATCACAAGTATGAGATCAGTGATAGGTAGTCCTTGAGATTGACCTGCAGTTTCTGCTCATACTGCCAATGGTGATAATCAAAGTATATTTTTTAACTTGATTTTAACTCTTTACCTTTAGAGAGTATCACTTAAATTCAATTTAAAGGTTTTTTATCTTTGTTTCAGGGTGAGCTAGCTTAGCTAGCTCATGTAATCTGAATTTTTAATGGAATTGAAATAAAACAATAATTTACTTTGAAGGAATATCAACCTAAAATTCATACATTTTTAGATGTCTGCAGATACAAAAATTAAACTTAAGGAATTTGAAACAAATATTATAGGCTAACTATTCATTATCTGCTAAACCTTAAAGGCTGACTCTGAAATATTATATACATACATTTATTACTAGTGCAATAGTATTTAGTTGTGATTTGTTTTCATTGCCAGGTGTAAAAGATGTGTAATGTGAACATAATCATGTTTTGTAGGATCATTATAATAACTTGCAACATATTTAACTTTTCCAGAGATAGAAGATGTTGTGAACGCCACCCTGTTTCTGCTGAGTGACAAGAGTGCGATGGTCAATGGTACTTGTATGTTACTGGAAGGAGGGCTGTCCTGTAGCTAGAAATCCTGCTGTCAGTAGTCACTTTCATCTGTTCATCAGAATGTTAAGTTGATTTCTGTCATTGAGAATTTATTCAACTAAGGAACATAATGACCAAATTGTGCCATGTAAGATATGTATTTTATTTCAATCAAGTGATGTAAATAAGACTTTTTTTATAGCTCACCAGATATGCTGTTATTGGCAATCTTTATCGTCTGTTCATCAGAAAAAACTTCTTCTGATCCACTGAATAGAATTTCAAAATATTTGGTTACAAACATTAAAATAGTGGCGGAGCCAAAAATTGGTAATTTTGTAGTATTGCTTCTCTGGATCTTTGAAAAAGATATCATCCATTTTTGGTTAAAACACATGCTAGTAGTGGGATACAAAATAGTATAAATGGAATGTCTACCCCCTGGATTGAAAGATGTGCCAAAAAATTGAGCCATAGGCTGCTGAGGTTGAGGTCTACATAGATGATATTGTCAGTATTGACTTGATGAGGAGAAGGAAGTAGAGGGTGAGGGTAAGGAGATTCAGTCATCATTGGGAGTCCCTACTCCCATAACATAAGAGTCCGCTGGTCGGCCTTTTTTCAATCAGATATGATTTTGCCGACTGCGACCTCTCATTTCCGAAGCACTAATTCTTTGATGCAGTTTCCGCCCGAAATCCGGGCGGAACAAAATCGGCTTGAAAAACATATATAAGTGGTTAACAGCTCATGACAACGGTGTCTACACACGGTTTATATAATATAGATCTCATATGTATGTCACAGACACAAATATATAGTATACTACGGAATAGAACACTCAAAATACACATCTCTGACCAACATTTAAAACATGGCTTCTGGATTAATACAAAATAGCAAGGGGGATTTCAAACGGAACGAAATGATACGGAGTTTGTTTGTATTCCACTTGTGAAACATTACATGTAATCCATTTTTGTATTAACCGGAAAAATCATGGCAAATGCTGTCTGCTTCGCTTCAAATTCAAATTCGCTTGGAATGAGGAAAAACTCATTATTTATGTCTTTGACACGCAATTTTTCTCATATAATCATGGATTTATGGAAAGGAATATTTATTGGACCCTTTTGACCATTTAAATGAATGTAAACACGTTATACTCTTTCTTAATCCGAACTTTCAAAATGTGATCGACAGCATCGGGAAAATCAGCTATGGGCAGTTAGAGGTTACGCGGCGCCTGTCAAAAGTTTTTCGCCGTGTAAAACCTCTAACAGTGTTGGAGTATGGGAGTCCCTATGGCGAGGGCTAATATTAACAAGATACCTTCTACATTATAAACATATAGCAATATTATTAAAACCTTGTTTTACTGTAAACATATACCGGGGTATGTATTTATGTTGGTATGCCATGTCCCTAGGAACCTAGTCCTTGGGTCATACCATGGAAACAGTTGAGATCCCCATGGTAAGGCAATATATACCTTTGCTTAGTATTAAAAGACAAATACACATGTATGTTAGCAAGATTGACTGCAGGGCCTTGCCATACTCCTAGTGACAAAGTTCCTGGATCATAAATTTGGAGATTGCTGAGAACCCCATTCTATAACCATGTTAAACACTTGTTTGATGTAAAGGACAAAGTTGTGCTATGAAATTGACCTTTGGGTCTAACCTAACACCTTGAGAATAGACCCAGAGTCACAATGTCGAAGCAGTTGATATTCCCACCTTGTTACCATATACCCAATCGCTGGGCATGAAAAATAATATAGGTAATATGTTACACAATTGGCTTTTTGGCCTGCCCCTGTGTATGAAGACACAACTAAACATATGCTGCCAGAAATAGGTTCAGGGTCAGGCCCCACTACTTGAGTTTAAGCACAGAGACAAACACAAATATGCTATAAGAACTGAACCCCAGGTCTGGCCTCACCCTTTAAGACTTAGCCCCTGTGTCAGAGGTTTGAGATAATCATCCTTTAAATATACACAATATAATGTATATATAACTGATGGGCAAAAAATGAAATACAGATATGCTACATGTAACAAGATTGGCCATAGGATCTGTTCTTGCCCTTGGGATTTTTTTCCTGGGTCCCAATACCATCCTCACCCTTTAACAATTTTGTGTATTGCTGAGATGAAGATTTGGATACACAACAGGGTCTAGCCCAACATGCACTATAACATACCATATATACAGTTGCTGGACGTGCAGAGATGAATACCCTCATGATTTCTGTGGACTTCATCCTTAAGTCATAAGTTAAATACATATCACCAACGTATTACCATACATGTGCTTGCTGAGAATGTACATGTAATCTTAATTAACAAAATCAAACTTATTAGGATTGTTCCCTGGGACTAAGCCCCATCCCTCGAGACTTATTTACAATATTATTTGTCATGGGAACATTTTGCCACGATTGCTTATAAAGATCCAAGTGAGTGATACAGGCTGTCTGGACTGTTTTACTTTATCTTTTTTTTTTTATCTTCAATAGAATTGAGATAGCAAAGTGTATGGTGTAGATCTATTATGGTGAACATCTACAGCTTCAAGGGAGATAATTGTGTATTAGTGCTAAGTTAATCTAATATAGATGTGTATGAAATAATATTAACTTTCAACACATGTAATGTTGATAATTGATATATGTTGATCTTGAGATCTGCAGTTTGGTGTAGATCCATATGGAGTTGATTTCAAAATCAAGTAAGTCTCACATAAATATTTTTAACAGTTATACAACTTTTGTTGGAATGCTTACAAATTAGTTGTTAAAACTGCAATCGGGAAACGGGTATTCACTGAACCAATTTGTCCAATAGCTTTACAGAGATGTGTGCTTGTTATATATCAGTTTACTTATCTGTTAAACAGAGATGTACCCAATATCTACAAGTTTCGAAGCATTTTAAAATGTATCTTTAATCCATGCATGATTTTTATTTGTGTGGGTGGTATTTTTTAGCAATGTTTAATGTCCAATACATTTGATTATATGATGTAAAAATCTGTATTGTTATTCATTTCAAGTCATTCTTAATGACTTAAGAGCTCACTATAACCCAATGCTGTTATATAGTGTCATAAACAGAGGGTCTTAGAGGAGTTCCTATTATGATTTTCATGGATGAATAAATAAATTTATCAGTACAAATAAACTATACTGTAGTTGTTTTGCCTATTAATGAAGCACTTTCTCAATTATATTTTGCCAACAGTTATATGAAAGCATTCAAAATCGACAGCAATTCACTTGCATTACCTAGATGACATATTTCTTGAGAAATTACAACATCACTATAAGAACTGATCCCCAGGTCTGGCCTCACCCTTTAAGACTTAGCCCCTGTGTCAGAGGTTTGAGAGGGGGGTATCCAATGTTTCTTAACATACAAAAATATATTTTTATTTTTCATTTTTTTTATTTTGATCAATATTCAGCAATAAACTGATGAAACTAAATGTAATAAACAAGCTATTGCACATGGACACACTGAAGACTGTTGATTTGAATGGAGGACCAACAGGCAAGATATGTACTGCTAGAATGATTAGAGGATCACATTATAAAATCTAATGTCCTGTTTTAAATAATAATATCTGTGGTGTCTTCTCCCTATCCCAAAGTTGAATACCACGGATGATTAGGTAACGTCGGTGTTAGTCTGAACAGCGTCTCGCTGACCCTCCGAGTGTGGCATGTACAGGTTAGCACTGGGGTCTGGCTGTAGTAATAACTCAATATCTCTTCCTGTATTAATGTTGACCTGCTCTTCATTTTCCTTACTTAACTGTGTCTCTAACATATGTTCGTGTTGGCCCTGGCCCAGGGTGGAACATCCTGTGTTCTGGGTATCTATGGAAGTGTTTGTCAATCCTCCATGAAGTAAACTGCCGTTTGATAACTTTTCCAAAATTTTAATGATCTGCAAAAAAGGCAATGTTTTATATCAATTTTTAAATGCATTTATATATATTGTAGTTACAGTGTAAAAAACAGTGAACAAATTATCTCCCCTACACTATAAATATTCTTCCTGTTTGGGATGTTTTCTAATGTAAATCATAAACTCTTTTGTATTTGAACTGCTACGCTGGGCCAAGACTTACCTTGTTTGCCTTAGATGCTATTGGTCCAGAACAGTTTCCCACCAACCAAATCAGGTTTTCCTTGCATGTCTGAATTATTCGGTCAACACCGATCAAATCTGTAGTTAGCAGGTTCTCCACCAGAAGTAGTGATCTCTGTGAGTGTTGAGATGAGACAAGAACATATCAAATAAAATAATAAAATAATATGTAGAATTTTAAGGGTTTTACTTATTCCCCTCCCCCCTCAAAAGGCCACCCATGCATAGTGTTACCCATTTTTGCCCCATCCTATAGGTCAACCATACCTATTTATTCAACAGATTCATGGTCATCATGAGTCAGTGAACCAACCTATGGGAAAGGGGGGTATGCATTCATGTTTTACTGACGTTTTCTAGTTTCTTATACAAACATTTTATCTTAAATAATACTTATTGGTATACAAACTGCATTTGCAGTAAAATCAAAACTTGAACTTTATTAAGATGAAACAAGACTTTAATATACAAACTCTATATATATAAAACAAGAATTAGTCAAAATTATTTCCTTTCAAGAGCCTGTAAAATGTCAATAGAAATGGGAATCTTACTAGGACATGCTATAGCAATCTTCACAAAATATATTTGAATTTACTCACTTTACCGGTACTTAAATTATAACTTGTAAATGACAGAAACCTAAATAAATGATTATGAAGTAATTCCAGTCTCACTTAAACACTTGTTATTTATATTTCACCGTCACTTCGTTTGTTATTTGACATTAATAGACTCACCATTGTGTGATTGTCGACTCCTGATTTTAACCGCTGATTCAGAAGCTCAAGAATTTTATAACAACCTAGTTGATGACACCTCTGAATAAAATTCTTAATCTCTGTTCTTTTCAGAAGGAAAGATTGACCATTGTCCACTGTACTGGTCACTAGATTTTCCTCTCCACTCCAATCCTCCAGAGTCACTCCCTCCATCCTGTAGAAAAGACAAAACCAAACAAAGTCCATAACCAAATCCATATTGATCTCACAGTCTATATAAGGATGTACAATAAAACACCTTCATACCATGTACGAGTTACAGCCACTACAGTACTACATTGTACTAAAGTACAATATTCTATCATTGTTTCAAACTTCCATGTACAGGTACATTTAGAGTCAAATATGTTTCATCCAACCCATGAGTATTCTGAATTCCTGTCTTATCTGACCCCTGAGTATTTTGAATTCCTGTCTAATCTGACCAAGGTATTTTGACAACCTTTCTATTCCGACCCGAGAATTCTGACAATCTGTATAATCAATCATAGAAATTTAACTCCATTTCTAATTAAAATTTTAATAAAGATCTGTATATTATGATATATTGCCTGATCTTAACAATATGTTGTGTCCCACAGGGTGTTTGTTTAAACAGGTTTCACTGTACAGTTACAGAAGAACTTTATAAGAACCAAATAATTCTGCATATTACACAAAGACGCCAAATCCACCATTTTTACTTACAGATGTGATTCAACAATGTTCATGAGATACGTGCGAGTTAAGTCCGAAAGTTAAAGACTCTTACTGATAGCAATCTTACACATCTCATTAGAAAACTTATCTGACTCCACTAACATGAGTCTGGAAATTTAGATGACAGGAGCTATAAGTGAAGACCCAATTTTCGAGGAATGACCATCAGGTATGGATAACTAAATTGACAGGTCTGTAAAACATACACGTAACAATTAACCTTATTACAAAACCAAAGAACTGATTTTGTATTATAAATATTAACCTTAATCTAGTTGCTTTACAGTAGAACCTATGATCACTGTATATGTTGTCCTGTAATGTTCTGTAATACAATGATCATACAAAGGTTGTCTGATTACCTATCTAATAAGTTGTTACTTTCGGTACTTCTCTTACTGGAGGACTTGCTGAGGGAGTGATAGCTATCGTCGTCCTCATCGCTGTCACCCCAGCCACCACCGGCCTTCCCAGGAACATGTTTCCTCACGGGTTCCACTACAATTATATAGCAATGTAAAAAGTAAAAGCAGCTTTCTGATAAAATCCTAATGCTTATTTTAGTAGCTTTTGGTAGCAGTCTAGACTATTCCCACTTAACTTCCCAAGTTACTATATTCTGTAAATGTCAAGGGGGTATTGCAAGCAGCATATTGCTATGGCAATCTTTCAAAATATATTGTGTTTCTAGAAAAACAACATGATTGAAAATTACTGATGAGAAAACAGAAAGTTTAACAAGTTTCTACAGTAATTTGAAAATGATTTATAGAACAAACACAATCTTGATAATCTTAATTCAATTTTAAAATTATTCCTTGATGAAAAATGACCTATTACAATTTATTTCCATTTCAAAATCATATTGAAATATATATTGGCATACAAATATAATGCAGTATTGGTGTTGCAGTATTACTGCCCACCCCTAATAACTGTACCATCTTGGTAGATAATATTTCTGGAATGTTATTCACACCTCCTTTAATTTAACAAACATTGAATTTCCACTTCATTATTGTCACATCATGTTTTACATCATATAAGCAAATAGGATAATTTCAACAATGCAAGACAGCACCACTAAACTACATTCCAAAGATGGAGACTCCAGTGGAATACAGTTCATATTTGATCAAATTAGAGATTGTACAAACTTACTACCAAGGTATATATAAAATATTTAACTTTTTAAAATGTACAAATCAAGTTTTCTTATTGTACCTGGCTGAGATTTTAATTCTGGCTTTGTAAAGGGTACAACAAGTGGGTGGTTTTCAGCTACGTAGTTTGTAGGTGGTTTGTACCCTCCAACACTCTGCACGGACTTCAACAGCTCCCTCTGGTGGTCAGCTGGCTGTTCACTCATCTTCTCCGCCATTTTGTACATATTGTCAATCACACTGTCACCAAATGACTCTACAAATGTTTATACGAAATGTCACCAAATGTCTCTACAAATGCTTACATATAACGTCTTTCATAAGCTGTTACCAAATGTCTTTACAAATGTTAACACCAAATGTCTATCGGACACCGTCACCAAATGCTGATTTAAACAATATAACCAAAATATACTGTCAATCATGCTTCAAATCCTCTGATCTGCATACTTAAACACTGTCACCAAAAATCTCTACTTTACCAATGTTAATATATAAATTCTCAGAAATTTGGAGTTAAGCCAACTGTGTATTTTTGTTTTATTTTATGATATTTATTATAATCATATAAGACCTGTTTTATAGTCACTTTGCAGGCTCAACATGATTACAAGATAAATACAATATGAACATGATAGACTCATGAGCATATGGTACAAAACTTACACTGTACCAGTTATAGATCATGCATGAGAGTTTATTAATTAACAATATTTCATTCCTTACTCTTTTGGGCAGCAGGAGCGTTTCCAAAACCTTCATACTTCCCTGTCTGACTTCCTGATGAACCAAGACTGCCTGTTGGAATCAAACAAAATTCACTGATCATAGCTCCTTATATGATAAACAAGAGATCCCAGAGGGATCTTGGCGCCCACCATTGTACGATCTTCATTAGTTCTTTGTCAGTTCGATCTTTTCTCTTCATTCCTCTTATCTGTTTGACAGTCATGTTAACAGTAAATGCACCTTGAGGTAACTTTTGATCTAAACTTAATACTGATGTGTATGAAAGCCAACCTTTAAAGTGAGTTTGTCATTTCACATATTTACTAGTACAGTACTTAATGTGAAAGAAATAGAATCGATCATTGCAATATGAGAAAGATCTGTTTAGTTCTTCCTTTAGCCATTTTGTTTTTATGATCAGTCTCAAAATATAACATACACAACGAGGGATCAAGGGGAACCTACATATCAAATGTTTTTGAGAAATAGTACTAACAAACCTTCAATGTCAAAAATCGAAAATGGCTGTCGGTAGGCCATTTTGTTTAACTGATCAGTTTTAAAAGAAACATGAACAATAAAGGATAGTGGAGAACCTACATTGGCTGGCCCACAATTTTTTTTTGAGGCGAGTAAAAAATTTGAAGCACTGGCCCAAATGACAATGGTGGACCAAATAACTTTGGGAAGAAATATTTCCACATCATTTAACACAATGCTTCAGCACATTTAAATTACGTATAACATGACAATGTTTGTAATGTGTAAAACAGAATAAAACATGATATTTTTAATTCTTCAACCCTAGTTAAAACCTGACATGATCCACTCCATTCAGGTCTTCCCAAAAAGAAATACACAAAACTTGCACCTCAAAGAAGACACCCAGGCAGTATTTATATAGAAAATCAGAAAAAAAAATCATCACATTTTCTAAATCACGGACAGTTCGATTCAAATCGAAGTAATGACAACTGAAAAATGTACTGCCCCCACCCCCCAGTTAATGTTGAAGGGACTATAATTACTTTTATTCATTAATTTTTCAACAGTAGCTCAAACTATTTTTGTTGGGCCAGTGACTACCTCACTTTTGACAACTTTTAGTAACTCGAGCAAGACTTTAACCGCCATTGGCGAGCAAGCGACTGTCCATTTCAGACACTGCTGCACAACAAGGGAACAAGGGGAACCTACATATAAAATTTGAGAAAGATCCCTCTGGTACTTCCTGAGAAATAGTGATAACAAACTTTCACTATCAAAATCCAAGATGGCTGCCTATCGGCCATGTTGTTTATCCGATCATTTTCAAAAGTTGCTCTGCACAGCTAAGGACCAAGGGTAATCTACATATCAAATTTGAGAAAGATCCCTCTGGTACTTCCAGAGAAATAGCGATAACAAACTTTCACTATCAAAATCCAAGATGGCTGTCTGTCGGCCATGTTGTTTATCTGATCAGTCTCAAAAATTGCCCTGCACAATTAATGACCAAGGGGAACCAACATATAAAATTTGAGAAAGATCCCTCTGGTACTTCCCGAGAAATAGCGATAACAAGAATTTTTTAAGGACGGACAGCGGACCACGGAAGCAGGGTGATTTGAATAGCCCACCATCAGATGAAGGTGGGCTAAAAACAAATATGAATAGCATAATGGATGAAACAGTAGCTGTCTTAAACCGTTTCCTACCTGTACAGTATCTAATGTCCATTGAATACACAGACGACATCTTGTGGAAAACTAGTTTTTACCTTCAATCAAGAACTAAATTGTGTAACTTTCAAGATTTCTCAAAATGTAATAGTTTACATTTATTTAAATCAACTGAAATTGCAGAAATGAAAATTGATAGAATTGAATAAAACTAAATAAGAATTGTGTTCAAATAAATAAAAAAAAGATGTTGACGTTTGGTTATTATGGTAATTAAACTTTTTAACAACTTTAAAGTCTGCCAAAAACAAATATCCAAAAGAAAATGTGCCAACAAAACAGCTGTCCAGAATAATGTATTTAAAATAACAGCTTCTCTACAACATTAATAAACTGCAAGAAATTTTGCAACAAAATGGACACCTGTGTTTGTCTGTCTGTTAGGCTTGCCTTCTTGGCTGGCCTCGAACATCTCTGTGTCAAACAGCACCTCTGACAGCTCCTGTCATGAAATAATACAGATCTACCTTAGGACTTAGTATTCATAATTAAACACCTCTTACATTTCAAAAATAACTGATTTATCAATTCCATCTTGTTCCAGTTATACATGGCTTCATTTACTGTCATCACTTGAATCAGAAAGATGAGTTGCAAATGAGGAAACGATTTACCTGTGCAGCTTTGCGGACCATGAGATAGGGTACATTGCCATGTAATGGGTCAGGAGGACCGCTGAATTCTTAAATATAGAAGATGTTTTAGTTAAAGAACAGTACTATAACCTCACATTAGGCCTCGGTCACATTGATAATGTAACTTGTCCTGAAGACAGCCTGCATTATAAGCGGGCCACAACCTAATGACATAAGTAAATATCGCCGAACCTTTCTTGTAATGTTTGTTTTTATTAAATTTGTTCAGTTTGAAATTTGTGTTATGTTGTACTGTAACACTCATGAATGTCCTGTACATGAATATTTTCATATTATTTACTCAATGAGTGCATTAACATCTGTATCCATGTGATATTGGTGAATTTACAGTTGATACTAAAATATTGTGAAAAGATTCTTTTAGCACAACCAATAAGTGTGTATATGCGACTCGTTTGGCTGCTCTTTGTTTAATTTAATACTTGGTCATAGATGTGTGAGAGTCTATGAGCCCCATTATCTCAATTTAAAATGAAGAAAATGTTTTAAAAATATGAAGCTGAATCCTGTATAATCTGAAACCTTTATAATACAAGGCCTAGCTAGTTTATTGAACCCTGGGTAATCTGGAACCTTTATAATACAGGGCCTACATGTAGCTAGTTTATTGAACCCTGGGTAATCTGGAACCTTTATAATACAAGGCCTAGCTAGTTTATTGAACCCTGGGTAATCTGGAACCTTTATTATACACTACCTGTTTGCTCATTGAACCCTTTTTAACCTGGAATCTTTAAAATAATTACCTTTTTGCTCATTGAACCCTGTTTAACTTGGAACCTTTATAACACAGGGCCAAGCTGATCAAAGAATGACAATTTTTGACAAGACAAAAAAGTTATCTTGTAACATGTTGATAAAGCAAATCCGAATTCCAAACAATCTACTTGTCTGGGTTGTTGTCTGGTCTAGACAGGCTTCACAATTCATATCATGAAAAAAAAAAAAACTTAACTCAGAAATTTTAATATTGATGAAGTAACAGCAAATCACTTCAAGTAATAAAAAAACATACACGATAATACTTACTTGTGGCTGCTGTTATACCGTGAGCATTCTTCAACAAACCGAATCGAAAATTCTTGTGACCGTTTTCTAACAAGTATTTCATTACTTTGATCACCTGTAACATACAAAATGCTTACAATTTGAAAATGGAAATGATGCTGCGATATTTAAAAGGAACTAATTTTAAATTAGTTTTTACATTTAGAATGATCTGCTCTTGTTATCTAAAGAAATAATGAGATTGAACTGAATGATTCTGTAACAATCTCTTAACTTTTTGTATAGATTCCATTAAAAACAATGCATTGTCATGTATGTAAGTTAACTATACTGTACATACATTGTATAGCATACATTTAACATAAAATCAAAGACAAGGAATTTCAGGGGATCTTAATGCCCACTATTAGAATATCATGGAATGTTGTAAGTACTGTTGGTTCTATTCCTTTCTCTGTTCTTTTCTTAAACAAGCCCCTGTACAGGTACCAAATGGATCAGGCGAAGCCAAATAACTTGCAACATTATTTTTGAGGGACTAACAGTTCTATGCTATATTTTCCAATCCATTGGAGTATGGACAAAATAGGACAAAAAGGTTCAAACCTACCTAGTTTCATCAGCCTGGCAGTCATTTTGTTTTTCTGAGATATGTCAAATTCATACCTGCTATTTTAAGTCCCCTGAAGCCAACAACCTACACATGATCTTCAATGACCTGCACATATTGTAGTACTTTTTCAGAATCTCCTGCACTGGCCCTGTTATCCCAGCATTGAAAATGTTCAAAATAAATCTTTTTAAAACTTTATGTATTAAAATACTATTTTGAAAAGACATTCTAGTTTATCTTGAAATGACCTATTATATAGCTGGCTTACGTAACCAGGAATTTAACCCTCCAGGACTTTCATTTCATTGTAGAGAACTTGGCAGGTGTGCGAATAGGAGCATGCAATATGCACAACTACATGTACCAACAAAGAGGATTAGTACTTTACAGACAATATCAGTATCAAATCTATGATTATCTTGTGGCCATTTGGTTTTCCAATTCACCAGAAGTTGAAGCAGGCACAACTAGGTCTAAGTAATTATCACCATGCTTTGTCACAATTCCTCTATGATAGCCAGACTAGTAAGTAGAAATGCTAATCAGAGACCTTTAGTTTTATGTGGCATGAGTTCCTTTCCAGTCTGTCCACAAGATACTCCAGAGTACTTTCACAGTAGCCATCAGATTCATGGGTAATTTCTTATTACGTAATGAAGGAATATAAGACACATTTACAAAAGAAAATTTGCTAATTGCTCATTATACACAAATTAATAAAATAGGACCCCACAAAAACATAAATTCAAATGCAATATTGAATATCATATAAAAACAACTTAAAATGACACTTATACAAAATATTATCATTTTTCAGGCTGAACATACTTGAACATGATTACAACTTAAAAGTACAATATGAACATGATAGACTGTAGAAGAACATGATACAAAACTAAACATTGTACAGTACCATGCAGGAATCGACACATTTATTAGTGAAGTCTGGTTGACTATACAATGGTTATATGTACATCATCATATAGTGACACTACATTAAATGCAATTGAGAACTAGCATGTATATCTATGCATAATAAGAACATCTGTCTAGGTTGGTAATTTCGTTAAAAAAATAAATCAATTATGGAATGTTAACTTCTGTGACTCTTCTCTAATTATGTATGGAATTCAGGCTAATGTTTGACTGGAGAATGATTAGTCAAGGATACTGCTTATTTCTTGGTAAAGATAGCCAGGTATTGGTTTATCGTCATCTGAGGTAGCCTTCAATATAATGCTAATCTGAAAAATATAACGAATGCTGTCATGGATAAAGCAAACAATATGTAAAACGAAAGTAGAGTTATACAATTTTATATTACACTAGCAAGAAGACATATGTGGTATTTAAATTTAACTTGGAGAAATTAAGGGGGAAAAGCACATGTAGTGAAACTATTAATGCATATTATAAAAGGTATAGGCCTAGTACATGTGTCATTAATATATTTGCGGAATGACTCAATGCATGAGTATCTGAGGGATTGCTGACAATATAAACAGATAACCTGCCAATACTGTGGCTGCAAACAGTATGCGGTTTGTATGGGTCTTTTTCCTCTGTATGGTTAAAAGATATGGGTCCCACTATGTAAAAAATCAGTATTTTCAGAAATTCTTTGGGTTTGAAATAAAATGCTATGGGCCCAGGACTCGCATGTAGATTTGTCACTGCAAGGTAAATGCACGTATTAGTATTCATAGAAATAATGTTTACCTTGTTCACGAAGGAAACCTTTTCAAACACCAGATTAACGCTAGGATTTTCCGACATGACTCCGTCGTGTAAAAATCATTGAACTACTTTGAATATTTCTGCAGGCGATGTAAACAGGAACTGCTTAATATATTGTATTATTAGATGCCGCACTGTTAAATAATCCGGATATGAGAAAATTTTCGATGTTATAACCCCATAAGTTATAAACGATGAAAAGGTATTATGAGTATGTAGAAATGAGAAAATTAAATACAACCAAATAAGAAAGGAAATGTCCACCAATTAGTATATATATATACACACGGAATTCAGATTGCAATTCAGTACGTATTACCACGGACTTAACGTGTGTATGTAGGTCCCCGAAGTACATGTAAACGTTTTTTTTGTGTCTTTCACTATAATAAACTATTTTCTCCACAGAGACCAAAATGGCATTAATGCGGATGTGGCTAAGTTACATTTATCTTCGGTTTATCCCAGTTGGTGGGGATTGATACTTTAATTGCCCCTATATATACGTATACCTTGCGTCCTTATAATGTATTGTCGTCCAGGTGGTTCCAATCTGTGGCTGTTCGCACAAAGAATGAGTTTCTGTATTGTTCTGTATTCCTGTTGGGTATTATAACTGCTCTGTTATTGTTCCTGATTGAAATTGGAATTGGTCTTGATGTCTCGCAGTCCTGGAATTTACACTGCCGGGTTTGCCTTGTCTTACGCTGGAAATGAATTAAGTCTTTGCTATTCATTGATGGAATTTTCTCCTCCACGATTTTATAATAGAACGTTAATCTCTGTTACTTTCGTCTAGATGCTAGTGATGGAATCGAAGTTGTAAATATTTGAGGAGGTTTGTCATAAATCCCTCTTCCCTTGTTCTGTGGTCCCCGTGGATCTTTCCATTTTATAAATATTTGTCTTTGTGTATGGGTCCCAGATTATGGCTCCGTATTCAATAATGGATCAAACAAACGCAATGTATGCTGTCTTTCTGCATTATCTGGGACAGTATTGTAGATTACGTCGTAGGAAGCCTATAGGGCGGATTTCTTACCCCCTGATAGTTGCAACCCTAGATATGGATATGTACATGATATAAGTTGTGTCCATTGAGCTGATATCGTATTTTGCTTTTTCATGATCATTGTTTGATTTTTTTCTCTCTATAAAGTAGGCAATAATCTGCGAAAAGCTGGACTGTTGATGTGGCAAAGGAAAAGTAGGGGGGCTAGCACTGTTCCTTGTGGGACTCCTGACTCAACAGTGGCCTCTTCAGAGAGTTCTCCTTCTATGGCTACCCGCATCTTTCTTCAAGTTAGGAAGGTTTTTAGCCATAGATGCAGAGGTCATCTGATCCCATATGAATCCAGCTTAATTTTGTGGAGTAGTCTGTCGTGGGGAACTGTGTCAAAGGCCTTGGATGTTTGACACGGTCAAAAGATCTCAGTAGGTCGTCAATGGTGGTGATGAGTTGGGTTTCACAGGAGTATCCTGATCGGAAGCCATGGTTCAGAGATGTAAGTACCTTATGTCTGTTCAGATGGTCCAATATATGTTTGCATATGATATGTTCTAGGATTTTACATGGTACTGATGTTAATGATACCAGACGATAATTTTCTGCCGAGTGTTTGTCTCCCTTTTTAAGATGCAGGAAACGTTTGCATTTAGCCTGTCTAAAGGGATCTCACCGGTTGTTATTGTGGATTTAAAGATTTGTATCTTTTAGCACGCGGTTAGGAATATTACTTGTCCCTTACGCTTTGAGAGGATTTAGGTTTCGTAGGAGCTTTGCTAGGGTAGGAATCGAATGTTTTTTTGTTTATTTTTTGTTACTACGGATGAAGATCGATGAAAATTGTTAGTGCTGCCACTCCTATGTTATCCTGTTTCCTTGAATTTATATATTTTCACAATGGTTTGAGTTGTTCTGATCTTGTCCATCTTGTATATATTTATAACATTGGTTACATAAACGTTTTCCGCTTTCCTGATTTCTCGTTTGCAGTCTTATTGATAGTACTGGTAGTTATTCCAATATCTCGTTTTTTGGCTTGATTATAAGGGTTTTGGTTTTTTTCTTCAAGAAAAAGTTCGAGTTGGTATACATTGAATTAGTGAGTCTAGTAGGCAATTTTTTTATTGCAGCCAGCATTCTTCTGATCCTTTTTTTTTGTATTAATGATATAGCTAAGACTGTCAATTTTCTTTTTCTGTTTCCTCCCAATCGACTCTCCTCAACATGTAATATTTCCTTTTTGGTGTTTTCTGGTAATTTAGTTTGGTGTCCATGTCAGTGACTACAATGTCATGGTCCGAGATGCCTGGTATGTTATTCGATGTTTTGATGTTTCGATGTTATTCATATATTTCACTGCTGCTACGAATTTATGCAAAATATCAAAATATTCACCACACTTGTAAAATATAACAATTAGAGAACATGGTCTGGAATATTTGGAGTTGGAATATTTCAAGACAAATTCAAGTTTAGAAGTCACTGCTTCTCGTTTTTGAAAGGCGTGTTGATAGGGAATTAAGACGATAAACCCTCTCAGTGGCGTAGCATACATGCATGTATGCTTGTATGCTCAGGCATACACTAAAATGTTGAAGAACATTTTTTTTAATCATATATTTTATTTTATCAATCATAAAAATGGAAAGAAATAAAAAAAAGATTTGGAAATATTTGTCTGATAAAATAGTGTTGCTATGTTATTTCTATACACATTAAACAAGAATTACAAAATTTAATATTATTGATACAAAAAGGTTGGGTTTTACTTGTTAATAATCAGACTGAAAGGAAATCTCAGAACACGGGAGGTTGCTTCTAGCGCCTAGTAGATTTTTTCCAGCTGTAGGAGGGTGAACTCCCTCCCATACACCCCCACTTCTCCGGCACTAAGCATATATACTCTCCGAAAAATGATTTGGTATGCCAATGCCTCTCATTGGTCTGATAAAAGTATGAAGTATTTGTCACGTCTTGAAACATTCAGTGTAATGTTCTGACAGGACAGCCTACGTCAAAGAAGGCGAACATTGAATAGTCTTAACTGCAATTCTTTAGTTATTTGTGTCGTCTGAGATCTGCAGTCGCTGTAAAAACAACTATTTTATTACGGTTGTGCCAGAAACACCTGTACGTATCATTTACGACACCTGTTTCATTATCTAAAAATACGGTCTGGAAGAAAACTTAAAGTTTTTCTTGGAAGAGTTTTATTTCCATTCCAAACGGAAGTTTCTTGTTAAAAAATCTATTCACACAAAGAATAATCAAACAGACAGGTATGGGCGCCCAGACCATTGTACTGATTAATGTCGATTCGAATGTCTGCATGAAATAGATTGACTTCGTCCGTCGTCTCTATGCCAAGGTTTAAATATGGAAACAGTGGTCTTCTTTTCAATCTCACATTTGCACTAAAGTTGCAAAATTATGGTTAATAAGACCAAACTGCGTGACGTGCCAACTGTGATACAGTGACACAGGACGCTCTAGCTCATTGCTTGCTTTATTTTAATCATCCAGATTTGGTTGCCTTACGCACCGAATTTTTCACAAATTTTGTGAACTATTTTTTCCTGTTGAGTTAGACAGGAAAGTGTTTGCATCCTTTTAGGGCACATTTCCGGTAATATACGGGAAGTGAATGTGTACTTACATGTATCCGCATGAAAACTTTGTACATTTAAATTGATTTTATTTCAGTCACGTGTTTTTTTCATATTTCCTGCTTCATGTATCTGTGTTCCCATGGACATTTTGATTTTGTGCGATTAATATCAGTTACTTATATGTAACCGTTGCCATGGCTACAATGCAACTTGTATGATGTTTCGTTGACATCTACTTATTTTCTAATTCTATGTCTCGATATTATTATGTACGCTTCATTTATGGAGGAATCAAATCAAAGACGAACTTTGTTTTTACTAAGAAAGGACATAGTATAAGGCCTCCTCATATGGAGTCCTATAAAACACACAAAACATAAGTATTTAATCGGAAAAGGTTACACTTTTTTTTAAACATTTTTTTGTAAAATATTCTGTAGGTTCACATACAATTATCCCCGAACTACATGTTCACTACCACATACCACTGTACATTGGGACGGGGAACCTTATAAGGTGCACATGAGCGGATTAAACCCTCCCCTCTTATGTTTTTATAGCATTGGGTGGGCAGGTGGCGCACTCACTTTTTAACTTGACGGCTTGGATTCGAATCCCCGATCTGACGTAAAAAAGGGTATTTGGGTCACCTATACCCGCCCAACAATGTGGCATTTCCCGGGTTCTCTGCCCCCACCCCCCTTCATTAAGACCCCATCCTGGCCAACAATAGTGATGCATATTTTTCTTTTAAAGTTTCATTGTTGTATACTATTTTATATTATTTATATATTAACATTAAAACCTTCTACTGATACTAAATAGTCAGAGAACAAGACACTTCTCCAAGGTTAATTAAGAAGAAAAAAGTCTTACGAAATGTGCGCCACAGTTTAAGACGTGGGTCACCGCGGCCTTATACAAAATGAAATACTGATTGCAAACTGATTTTTGAGCACAATGAATCTCTGTTGTGTAATTGAAAAAGGACAACAGCCACCAAAACTCTGTGATGTAATATCCAACCCTGACGCACTCCCTTGAGAGGTGGGGGTCAGCATTTATCTCAACCCAGCCTTTATTTGCCATAATTAGAACATGTACATATATACCTCTATTATAACACCAAATAAAGTGACGGGGGTATCAAAAAATCCGTATGCTACATACTAAAGCTATAAAAGTACAGAGAATAAGTTTCCTTGCACCCAGTGATAAAAGTAAGAATATAAAATTCTGAGTATTTTCAATAAGAAGCTTTGATCGATGTTTTTAGAATGGCATCTGGAACACAGTACAGATTTTGATTACCTTTGGAAAAAAGGGTTTACAACTTTTCCATCTTCTCCTTTCTTTGTCACCCTTTAAGGACAACTATTTCGAAAACAATTTTCCATGATTTTTGGATAACAGATCGAACAGAGTATTGATTTGTTACAGTAATAAGTATTGCGATTACACACAACCCACGGATATTTGATAATATATATGGATATCGGATAATCTTAACTCTTAACTTAAA